AAGGTCCAGCCTTCTTCTCAGCCTCCTTGGAGATCTCATGAACCCTCTTCATCAACTTCTCGAATGCAGCTCGACCCTTAGGAGTGCCTATCGTATCTCGCATTTCGGCCAGTTTGCCCACGTACTCACCCATGGTTGTCAGGTTCTTGAAAGGACATCCGTGTTTGAAACCAGGGCAGTTTCCGGTAATTCCTTTCATTTCATCAGCAAGACCTTTATAAGGGCACACACCTTTGCCAAAAACTGGGCACTTCTTGACGATCTCTTCAACCGTCAAAGAATATGGAAACTGTAGGTTAAAGGGAAGATAGAATTGAACTGGGAACAAGAATATTCACTGGGAACCGTTACACAACAGCTCAAATAAATCAGTCGTGAGCTAATCGCAATTTTCTTCATTTCAGGTAAGATTCAGATCCTGTAGAATGATTCATGTTTCGAGATTTGCTCTGAAAGTGGGAAAACACTGCACAGTGACAACTGTTTGGCATTGCTTAAAAAACTGGGGAAAGAAAAGAAATTCATGCATCTACGCTATACGTTAGAAAGCTCTTTATTGATGGTTTCAATTCAATATTTTCATTCTGAAATCGAAATTACTTACCACAGTGTATACAGGTTTCAAAATCTCATTTCCTTCGGTGTCTTTGGCAAAGGGGCAGCCACCCTGGAAGAAGCTTTGAGGGGAGACAGTTCCGTACTCCACGTGTTTTTCCTTACTAAGAAAGACGACATCCTTCAAAAACTCGATCCATTGAGCTTCGCCTTTGGACTGGTCACGCATCTGACCCATCATGTCTTGAAGCTCACCCACGGTCTTGCATTGTTTGAAAGGGCAGCCATTGTTGAAAGGAGGACATTTGGCACAGATGCCTTTCTTTTCTTGGGCAAGCTTGGCATATGGGCAGCCACCACCGAGAAATGCTGGGCAGTTCTTCGATATGTAATCTACGGTGACGTCTGACTTCTAAAAGGTTGAAAGATAAACGGAAAATCTAAGGCTCAACGTTTCCTTTTTTATGACAGCCAGAATCCAAAACATTTACCATTTGGGGCCATACATTTAGCACATCATAGCTGTTAGATCAATATAGTTGTGAGGTTAGCGAGAGAACGATTGACCCAAGCATTTACAAAATCATGCTTACAACGCGACCGAGAACTGCGTTTGTGGCCAGAAAGAGAGAGTTTTGAAGTTGTGTGCACCATTAAGTAACTTCTAATAAATGGGTGTATTTTGTACTTTCCAAATTCGCTCGAGCACATTAATTTCCACAGGGCTGACTAGGTTGACATCTTGTGATTGTAGAGACATCTTGTCGATCACCTTTCATTACAGTTAAAATTTTAACGCGGAGTGTGTTGCTCAAATACTACTTTAAATCGCTCGAAATAGAAAGTTCTGAGTTTAACTGATTAAGCTCAGTTCTTTCAACAGGCAGTTTATTCAGGAAAATGAAAAACTAAACGATTAACTATGGCAATTTCGTCCATAAATAGGTTGTGTCTGTGTTACGTAAGAGCGATAGATTGCATAACAATATTCCTTTTGGCCTTATGACTGAGCAAGACGAAAGACGAAACTGGCGACACATCAAGATATTGTTTATCGTTATAAAGACGACGTCTTGCCAAATAGAAAATATGGGCTTGTAACGTTCTATGGCCACAATTTGAACGACTTTATCATCTTCTTAACTTGGGGCGTATCTTCTGTTTGTTTACTTTTAGGGTTTAATAGTGGACTTGTTGAATTGGATTAACTTAATATGTACTAGGAAACTTCTCGAAAATTAATGGTTCCTATAAAGCCTGTGGCTTTGTCTTCTAACTAGTTCCCCTGTTTATGCGTTCATGATAGCGTCAACAGCTTTGATTTGAAAAGACAAAAAAAAACTAACCATTAACTGGATTTCTAAACCGAATGAAATCAAGAAGAAGCACGACATTTCAATCCACTGTTTCTTTGGGCCTTGCGAGGGAACGGAATAGTTAAGGTTTTCCTCATTTTGCACTCCATATGTTGAGAAACAATTTGATTCATTAACGGGGATAAAACATTTCTTTCATAAACTTAGCTTTTTTCGCTTTTCTTAGTCGTCCAAAGAGCACATTCTCGATGTGATTAATGCTTTTTTTCTATCCTACAAAAACCATGCAATGGACGACAATAATAATAAAATCATCATTCGTCACTCTCTTTTAGGATAATTAGCATCAAAAGCGACATGCGCCTGTAATATTTCCTCAGGATAAAGAGTTTCAAAAATGCAATATTCTAATTAGAAAAGACAATATTTAGGGAGTGTCACACAGATTGAACATCAAACGCCATAGCTTCAGCCCCTAAATAAAAAATTTGAGACAATACTTAATCGAACCCCTTGGTTAACCTCAGGACTGAATCACTTACTAGCTTAGATGACGCCATGTGGAGCTGTAAATTTTTTTGCAGAAAGAGTTTCTTGCAAAAAGAATTCGAAGACTCGTAAGCTGTAGTAGTTCACACTGTTACTGACTTGCTCGACTGATTATGCTGGGGTTGGGCGCATCAATTCAAAAGCAAAATGGAGGCAAATAACAATGGATGATTGACGCATCAAAACAGGTTATTCTCGATCAAACAGGTTTTCCAACACAGGGTGCAATGCATCATTCAGTTCAAAAAACGTGATAATACCTTACTAGTGTTTTTACAACGCCGGCAAATTTGTTATCAAAGTTTCTGATTATTCGTATCAATATAAAGACCGTCCAAATCTTGTTTATTTTACTCTCTTTTTTGACAAACCAAATACTTGACTCATCATAAGAATAGATATATATCTGTCGACCATCATACAAAGGCACCACCCGCTTATCGATCTAATTCAGAAGAACTTTTCAATGCGCCCTCATCAGTTTTAACAAGTGCTCAAATCCAGTCTTTCCCTAAAACCGGATTAAGCTTTGCCGTTACGAGCTAGGGCTTAAAATAAGTTTGGGTAGGACATTTTGGTACACCTTTGAACTGTACAAGAAATAAGCTGCCTTTTCCGCATCACCTGATCTCGCATTCCTGATTTTCACATCATTTTTTCCCTAAATCGCGAATTGCGCTTAATTTGGCAGTCACGAAGATTTTAAATTCGAAGATAATTACATAATCGTGTACGAAACGAAATACCACAAGGGTTGTTTCTATATGTGGTATTTAGACACCAAGGAAACAGTGTGCCATCGTCCCTCGATAACGATTATGCTAGAAACGACGAAACATTTGACATAATTGGCTGCGATATATTGCTGATAAAGCTCTCAATCGACGTTTAATTTTTGTAAAAGGTTCAAAACAGTAGCTATACGCAGACAAGCATTGGCGGTCATATGGTCACAAATTCGCGACAAGTTACGAATCAACAGGCAGTTTATTCATTAAAATGAAAAAGCTAAAACGATCAACTATAGTAATTTTGTCTCATAAATACGTTGTGTCTGTGTTACGTAAGAGCGATAGATTACATAACAATAATTTCTTTTGTGCGGATGACTAAGCGAGACGAAAGACGAAACTGACGACACATCAAGATATTGTTTTGTGATATAAAGGCAATATCTTGCCAGATAGAAACTGTGGGTTTGCAACGTTCTATGGCTACAAGTTGAACGACTTTATCATTTTCTTAACCTGAGGCATATTTACATTCTACTTCTGATAGTTCTAATGTAATCAAGATCAAGCACGACACCTAGATCTATTGTTTCTTGGGCCTTGCGAGATAACGGAATAATTTAGGTCTTCCTCATTTTGCACTTCATCAGCCTAGATACAATTTGATTCATTAACAGGGAGAAAACATTGCTTTCATGAACTTAGCTCTTTTTTTGCTTTTATTAGTGGTCCGAAGAGCTCATTATCAATGTGATTACCGCTTTTTTTCTATCCTACGAAAACCATGCGATCGACAATAATAATAACATCATCATTCGTCACTCTCTTTTAGGATACTTAGTATCAGAAACGACATGTACTGGTAATATTTCCTCAGGATGAAAGAGTTTCAAAAACTGCAATATTCTAATTAGAAAAGATAGTATTTAGGGAGTGTCACAGAGATCGAAGATAAAATGGTTTAGCTTTAGCTCCTCAATAAAAAAATTTGAGACAGTATTTAATCGAACCCCTTGGTTAACCTCAGGACTGAGTCACTTACTAGCTTAGATGACGCCATGTAGAGCTCGCAGGAAGACTTTCTTGCAAAAAGAATTCAAAGACCGTAAGCTGTAGTAGTTCACACTGTTACTAACTTGCTCAACTGATTATGCTGGGCCTGGGTACATCAATTCAAAGGCAAAAGCAAGGCAAATAACAATGGATGATTGACGCATCAAAACAGGTTATTCTCGATCAAACCGGTTTTCCAACACAGGGTGCAATGCATCATTCAGTTCAAAAAACGTGATAATACCTTACTAATGTTTTTACAACGCCTGCAAATTTGTTATCAAAGTTTCTGATTTTTTGTATCAATAGAAGAACCGTCCAAATCTTGGTCATTTAAAACTCTTTTTATGAGAAAGCAAATGATTGACTCATCATAAGAATAGATATATATATGTCGACCATCATAAAAGGCACCACCAGCTCATTTTTCTCTAATGCAGAAAGATCTTTTCAATGAGTTGCGATTCAGCTTTGCCGTTACGAACTAGGGCTTGAAATAAGCTTGGGCAAGACATTTTCCTACACCGTTGAACTGCACAGGAAATAATCTGCCTTTTCTGCATCCTCTGATCTCGCATTCCTGATTTTCGTAACATTTTTTTGCGCGAAATTTGCTAGTCGCGAAGATTTTAAATTCGAAGATAATTACATAACCGTGTACAAAACTAAATACCTTAAAGGCTGTTTCCATATGAAGTATTGAGACACCAAAGAAACAGTATGCCATCGTCCTTCGATAATGATGATTTTAGAAACGACGAAACATTAAATTTGAAATAATTGGCTGCGATGAATTGCTGATAAAGCTCTTAATGAACTTTTAATTTTAAGTTGTGAAAGGTTCAAAACTGTAGCCATACGCAGACAAGCATCGGCGGTCATGAGGTCACAAATTAACATTCTTTACCAACTCAATCCCATAGAGTCCAATATCTCAATCACCCTAAGTTTGTTGGTTTTTTTTTCGTAAGTCCTTTTTGGTGTAATCACTTCAATATAAACTCCCTTTGGCAAATCCTGCTTTCTACGAAACACGTCTGATGATGCAACCTTGAGTAGACGTTGCACGCGGCTGGAACATAACCCTGGATCAACTTTTGAACAGCTTTTGCAATTGGCGACGGGAAATCTGACTGGCGATGTATGAGCGAGACAAAGCAAAAACAAAAACTAGATTATGTCAACACGAAACACCTTTTTTGTGTTAAACGTATATTCCTGTTTCTCTTGCGGCATATGTGTCAAGTTACGTAACGTCACCGGCCTGTTTTGAAAACATGATGATGATTTACCTCAGTGCCATCTTATAGAGGATTTGTTCGTTTTGATGACGGTTGATTCACTTCCGGGAATGATTAAACAGGAATTTCCCTTTACAATCCATACATTTTCACGTGGAAGGATAATGAAAACATATCAAACAGCGGTTTCACACTATCCAGAAAAGCTGAACAACAATTATGTCAGTTGTTCCAGATAACATCCCCATATTCCATGAGTGGTCTAATCACCCTTTTGTACAAAGACATTAACGTTGATCTTTGAAACATTTAAGAAAATTTTATCTTTTAGAAGCTTACCTCGTGTTATTCGTGTGTTTAAAGTATATGCTTGTCACCCTTGCAAATGTGTCGAGTTACGTAACGTCGCAGGCCTGTTTTGAACAGATGATGGTGATTGCCTACTCCCTGACTCAGGTTTGATTAAGTTTTTATGAATTTCACTTCGTTGGTGAGTCAGTCAACGACATGTTCCAAAAGCGATATCTTTGCCTCTTGTAAACCCGCTAATTTCAGTCTTTTTTAAGACTCCAGATCCCGTGAAGTTGTTTTGAACGTCTTAGGTATCCCAGAATACAACAGGTGTTGCATATCTCAGACCATCAAAGGTCAGAACGAATGAACAATTATTTTTCAAAACAACGCAAGAAGTCACGAACAACATATCCACCAATTCCACGCTCACTTGTATACTTAGAGCACAGGCGGCCCAAGCTCCAGTTGTGAGATGATCATCTTGCTAAATAAGAGTCGTGGCGAAATTATAGTTTGTATAGGAATATTTACGACAGCTCTTAGGAGTAAGAAATACAGTCAAATTCTCAATGAAAA